GGGGAGGTTTCTGCAGGAGAGGCTGTGGTGGAGGAGCCTGCAGTGGTGCTTGGCAGTGCTGGTGTTGTCTGGCAGTGTTGACGGTCACAGCACAGCACCTTGATCTCGTAGTCAAAGCACATGGGGTATTTTTTGATCTGATCCCTATTTCTGCAGACAAGCCCGGTGTCCAGGCTGCACTCAAATTGCTGTCCCAGTTGTTCCCGAGTCCTGTCAGGATAATCTTTAGCACGGCACTCAATGTCCTCTGGCTTGTCACACAGAGCATTCCCAGCGGCTCCGGTGTTTGCTAACGGCCTCTTATCTCCGATGTTGGAGCCTGTGTTGCCACAGTGCTGATTTCTGCTGGAGTAGCTGTGGTTTGGTAACCTGTTGTTGAAACTTGTGATGTCTTTGCTGTAATTGAAGTTTCAGTTTGAGGCGTCGTGCTTTCTCTCTCTTTCGGTGACTTTGTAGTTACTGCAGATTTTTGTCCTTCTGTTTCTTGTTTTTGTGTTGTTTTCGTCATTGTCTGTATTGTAAATGGTGTTGATATTATAGCAGTAGTTGTGAATTCTTCTGTGGTTCTTGTTGTAGTTTGTATTTCTGAACACGGTACATAGCTGCAGCATGATATTCTGATTTCATAATTATAGCATTTCTTAGGTTGTTGGTCTTTGTTATTGCATATTAATCCTTTGCTTGCACTACATTGTACCGTTTGGTTAAGATTGTTTAGTTCTGCATCTGGGTGTTCTTTGGCTCTGCATTGAACACCATTTGGATTTTTACACACTCTGTATCCTTTATCTCTGAGATTTTCAAATGTTTCATAATCTCCACTGTCCTCTTCATTTTTAGGCTGTGTGGAATCATACCATTCTGACCACGCACATACGTTCTTCACACATACAGTTGTCTGAGATGTTGCAGTTGTCATTTCTGTAATTAGAAGGAGGAAATGGAAGTCCCGCATCTTCTTATTAAAGAAAGTGCCAGGAAAAAATTATTCATCTTCCATACATGTTTATGTTGTATGTAGTATTATATATGTTAATATAGTATTTAAATGAACTTGCTTTTGGCGCCTTGAATTTCATTCCTAAGGTAAGTGTTGATCTCATCTCTGTACTATTTTTCTAGTGGTACTTCAGGTGACAGTTATTAAAAAATTGTAGTTAGATATAGCTAATATGATATCCTTTGTGTAGAATGTCAGTGCATAGGATAGTATGATCTCAGATTGCTATGGTAAGAGGAGAGGAGGGTAAACCCCCTAAGTAAAAGGAGGTTTTAGTCACCTCGGTATTATCTCTACTTACTTACACTTAACTGCATAACCACACAGGCTTTAAAATATTTTTACAGGTTAGTGACTTTTCTGCTTATTTTGATATTATAACATGTAATATATTTATAATATATATATTTAACACATATATTTTACACATAATACATTGTAATATAGAATACACATATACAATATCTATGAAATATATAATCTAAATATTTTCTACTTGTTTTAATAAGATTTCTTTTCTTATTCTTAGCATTATGAAGGTAAACATGAGGAATATATACCACTTTATATGAATATTACTTAGTAGAAGACTTAAAGTTGAATTTTTAGTTCTTGCTGTAGTATTGTATAATTCTGTGGAAATTTTCCTTACAACTTCTCAGATTTACATGGTACTATAATGAGTTAACTGCAGGAATAATGTAAAGGAAGGAGTAGAAGGAAACTGTTGATTTGCTTATTAAATACAATTAGGAGAACTTCTTAAGAATGGCTTTAAATAATTTGAGCATTCCCTCAAACTAGATTTCTTATCGTCAGTTCACGCTGATGTAATTTAAGAAGTAATTTTAAAAATGGCAGTAATTGTCTTTTGTGTTTGCAGAAGTTGGTCTAGAACTGCTGGGTTTTATTTGCAAGGAAATGAGGAGATTCTCCAGGGTGCAACGATTAATAAGCTCTATTATTTTCTTTCCCCTGGAAAAGCCCTGGTGAAACAGTGGAGACTGAGTTTGTAAGAAATGCTGTACTCATTTCTACATCCTTGATTAAGGTCTTCTTTAGCAACTGAAGCTGCCAGATGAATTGGTGGCTCCAGCAGAAGTCAACGGTTTCAAGTAAAGTTATATGCCATTAACTAAAAGGCCCTCCCTTTCAGGCAATTTTCAGGTCCTTCCAGAGATTTTTCCAGTTAATTTAAAGAGTATTAATGCATACCTGAAGCAGCAGTTGTGGGCTGACTTGTAGAAAATGTAAACGGAGTTGTTGTAATCATGTCACATTTAAAGGTATTTCTGTTTATTGTTCCATTGACATCGCATGTTGCACTGATACACCAACTGATTCCATCTGTGGTGTTGTAGATCAGTTGACCATATTTATACCTCTTGTCTTCATAAATGCAGTAGCATGCTGTAATTCAGAAGAAGTTTATTGTCAGGCATCTATGAAAAGATAATATCCTGTGTTTCATTTTCTTAATAATTCTTCCTAGCTGTCTTACCTTTTTCATCAAACTTGCACTGTAAACCTTCTGATGTGCATTCACTGAAATAAAAAACAAAAAAACACATATTTTTTTTATTATGAAGTAATTTTATTAGTCAACTTTCTGCCAGATACTAGCATCAAAAGACAGGACACTTTATTTGTGTTTATTCCTTGAGTGTCCAGTTCATGTTGACTTCTTTTTTTGCCATTGTTTTCCAAAATCTTTCTTTATATTAAACACAAACTTATAAATAGAAGTGAAGCTAAATATTATGCAAAGCTATGGGTAGAAGTCTTAGGGAAGACTTTTCTTCTTATCACTTTCCTTGCGCTTGCAGTGTTTTTGTACTAAAAAGCAGGCTAAAAAGGGAACCTTGGAAGTAGAGCCCTATTGCATATCTGTGCTCCTGGAACAATATTTTTCTTGCCATAGGAACGGGAAATAGAGAAAGCCTGGTTGTAAAGGACTTGCTGTTCTTGCTGTATCTGTGCTGAGGATTTACAACATAATCAGGAACAAATTCAACAGAACATAAAATAACATAAGAACTTCTTACTACTAGTGTAGTAAGAAAACTGGCATTAGATAGCAAGGCATTGTTTTTACACGGGGAGCATAAACTGGTCCTGTCATGTAACCGGAACATGCACTTTCCCACTGCTGATCGTATTCCCTTGTACACGATTAGGCTGGTATGTTAAGTCTTACCATAAATTACATTCATCCCGTCTATATATCTTTCCATTTTCATTATCATAACAGTCACAGAGACTGACGCACTTCATCTGATCCTCATGAAAATACGGCTTGTCTGGTGGGCAGTTAGGGTAGCAGCCTGAAGGAAGGAAAAGGGCACAGAGAAGGTAGAAGAGGTGAGAATGAGACACAGTCAGCAAAGGTTTTATTTGTGCAGAATGTGTTTGCAGGTCTTGTTTTTAATAGTCATAGTTTTTACTACTTAATTTTTTCCAGTAATTCTAGGAAGTAATGCAGAGTACTAGCATCAGCAGAGCCCATGCACAAAGATGTTTTTAACTCCCGTTTCCGTACCCTGCCTCCATTCATGTGGATGCAATGATGGTGAAGAGAATTGCATGGTGCAAATGCAGCTGGTGGGGGAAATACACTCCATTAAAGACCATTCAAATCTAATAAAACATTCCCACTTAAAGGTAGCTGCAGCTCTTTTTACCTTCTAAACCTGGCAAGTTATGGAGGCATTTTCCACTTGGGTTCCTACAGGTTTTCATACAGGAGGCTCCACAAGGCTTATAGTGCCATTCACATTCCCCTTGTTGATTGTAGTAATCACAGAACAGTGCTAAGGAGAAACAGAAATTTGGACATGTTCAGAAAAAAAAAGATCTTTTTCTTTGACTCATGCTGGTTCATCATATCCCTGCAATGCTGCTTGAACAGTCTTGAAAACCACGAATGAATAGGTGAAATGGTGTGACCGTCACAACAGCTTACTGTGAAAAGTCTACACAGTGAGATTACAATGCACATGCGTAAGGTGCCCATAGTGGGTGCTCGAGGCACTGTACATTTAACTACACTCTCAGAAGGAAGTGTTTATGGCATAAAACTCACGACAGATTGACGGGGTTCTCCAGGCTATGCAGACACCGACTTCACTACACGCTTGAGCATAGGCAGCTACTGCTGTACAAAAGCAATCACAGTCTCCTCCAGTGTCACATGCACAAGCATCTGTCACACACGCTTGGTAATATTTTGCTGATTCAACCTGTTATTAAGAAGAAATTTAATACTATACACTCTGCCTTCTCAACTTCTTCTTAGCTTTGCTAGAGTAATTTTCTTAAAATTGTAGTATCTCAGAAGAAAGGCCTCCATCAGTAATTTGTTTTTCTTTTGTTTATATGCACTGGTAAACACCAGAGGTGATGCCAGATGATACATCCGAATCACATATTGACAGATTTTTAGACACCCAGACCTGTGTCCTAAGAGAAGATTAGATTCATATTCCCAAGCAATATTAGGCAACTGCACTTGAAAATGAAGGTCTCTGCCAGTGGAAAGAACTGAGGTAATAGGAAGAGCACAGAGTTAGCCCTGCATTGTTTGGTATGTACTTAGTGTCAGATAAAGGCTATGCTGATACTTCATTACGATGTTATTATTTCATTGAGTTTGTGTTCTGTACATGGTATATAGAGAATTTTTATTCATCACGCTACAAGAAAATACACAGTAATTATGAAATTACTACTCTTTTGTAATAGATCAATATTTCCTATGAACTAAATGTTCTTTTATTTCTTACAGGTAGGGACTATAAATCTGTCCCACTGAGCAGGATTCAGTTCTAAGGTTTCCTGACACAATTCAAAGTGAAACATGCTAATGAATTAGGCATGCATGGTAAGATGTTTGAGGGTAGTAACTTCAGTAATACACAGGCCTAGTCTTCACAGCATAAACTTCTGCCCTGGTAGTACCTGAGAATGACAGGCAGCAAAGACGTTGCTGTTGATGATGCTACACTGCTTCTCTGACCAGGACTTTCGAAAAGGGTTGGTAGAACACGGGTCGTTTATGCTGTGAGCATCAGGACATGTAGAGGATACTTTCCAGCTGTTTCCAAACTCTAGGACATTCTCCACTACAGACTGACTCCTTGTAGTAAAGTCATTGATGCCATTGCCATCATAATTTCCACAGAGGCCACAGACCTGGCCCTGCAAAAGGAAGTAAAGAAAATAATAACGGTTGTGAAAAAACTTGAAACAACACCTGAGACTGAAAGAATACTTGAAATTCAGCTCTTAGAATGGTGCCATTCCATTCCAACATTCCTGAAGATTTTAATCCCTTGTTTCTTCAGCAACAGAACAGGGCCATTAAGGCTAGAAGGATACTGCTGTTGACTTCTTTTTTAAATCTGAACAATAAAACCATCTTTGTCATTGTAACCTTCTGTCTTTGGGGTATGTCTTTAACAAGGAAAGGAGGACTCACAGTTAGTCGACTAAGCTTTTCATTTTATCCAATAGATGTACATATAAAAAACAGCATTACAAAGCTGTCATAAATACTACCAGTCCAGCCACATAGTCTACTCATTTGAGTCTTTACTGTTAAGACTGCTCACAGGTATAAAAAGAAATAACCTTTTCCTTGCACATCCAGAAATATCCCTCATTCTAACTTTATGGATCTGTAAAACCGTGATAGGCTACAATAGATGCTATGCTTTCTCTGTGAATCTAAGATGCATACTTTCCATATTACTACTATTTTTATAAAGTGCCAGTAAGTGAGGCAGCAAATGAACTTACGATACTAAAGTAAATTTATATGTCTAGTTCTAGATTACACTTAATTTATATACGTAATTGAAATGTCACTGTGGTATACAATAAGATAGGAAATTTCTCATTTACTAGAGTTTTTCATACTTATATATCATAAGTTAGGAGAAGGAGTATGACAACAGGCATACATTTTCCTTGTCACTTCTGTAGATATATGCTTGAAAAATACATGGTAGCTTTTTACAAGAGGCTTTTACTCACGATATTTCACTTCCTTGTTCTTGAAGTATGATCATTTGATTTGTGTGTCAGTGAGAACCAGAAACAGTGGATTATTTTCAAGATCAAGACTACTCAGTTGATTTCTACACATGTAGCTATGCAATTATAATAAGGTCTGATAACCTTTACCAAGGTTTACTGGGTAATTTAATCAAAAAGTCATCTCAAAAAAAGCAGTTTGCCAACTCAAGTTCTGTCAGGCCAAATAGGCACTGAAAGCTGCCTTCAAAGCTCATAAGAGCAGCAGAATGATGACATGGCTTCCTGAGGCACCAGGGGAATGAAAAACAATAAAAATTCACACCCAGTCCAAATCTGGACTGTAAATTGCCTTATAACTGCTAGTTCCGCACCTTAAAATCAGGGCTGAGCTTGATGAAGATGCTGGTTTTCTTGTCCCACATGAGGATCAGTCCGCTTGTGGTCTCAATTACCAAGTACATACCCATATAGCGGACTGTGTATGGCACCTCATCATTTTTTCCTCTCCTTATGACGCTGACATGCTCCTCATGAAGTATCAGTTCATAGCTCTGAAACAGGAGGAAAGGGAGATAAGGAATGAACTCAATAGCTGCAGCTGTGCTCTTAAACACATTTTTCTGCTTTTAAGAGTACTACAAATAGTTCATATAATGAAAACAAATAATCCAAATGCGATAAATCAAAACTATATAGTTCAAATCTCAGGTTCCTGGAATGGCGGTAAAAAGGTATTTTAAATGGCGTAGGCCAAAAAAGGGAGTTTTGGTAGTCATGGAGGAACTACATTGCACAGAATAAAATAATCTTCTGACATGATAGGCTAAATTTCTGCTAAAGTCAATTTTCCTGTAGATCTGCATTTTGCCCAAGAGGGTATAAGATAGAGTGGGAAATGGAAAATATAGAAAGCTGGGAAGCTCTACCAAATATTTCAGTTGAATCTGATTTAAGTTTAATTTACAAGTTGATTTGCTTTTTTAAATATTCTTTCAGCTTCCTTGAAGTCATGGATACCTCGGCTTCTCCTAAGCCCTAAACAGATACAGAACAAAACCGGTCTGTATGCAAAACCTTCTTACCTCTAAGAAAACTTTGATAGCTTTTGAGCAAGTTGTCCCAGTGTTGCCACAGGGAATATTTTCAGTGATAACCCTGAAGGTCCCATTGCCTGTGCCACTCTTCCCACAGTGGTCCTGGGTAGAGAGTAATGTTTCAAATATATTATTTTCGTAGGCACGATCAAGGTTACATCTCATTTACTGTTACTAATTGTCAGTACCTGGACTAGTGTGTATTCACAGTTTCCATTGAAGCTGAACCTTTTGTCATCAAAGGTGTTATAATGACCATCTCCATAAACAGCACAAGTGCCCAGACATTGATTTTTGGTGCATTCCCACTTCCTATTCTTGCATACACTAGGAATGAGAATAAAACATTTAATAATAAAACAACTCACTGTTTTGTGTAGACAAATCCCAATGACTCAGTATTTTTTCGGTAATTCATCCATGGTAAATGTTATATTGAGTCTGGAGTTACAATAGTCTTTTACATTTTTCATGTAAAGAATTAAAGCAAAGTTCTGTTCTGCTACTCTGAATGCATTAACTGCAAAAGAGGATAATACTTAATGAACACTGTTGTCCCAAAGATTTCCTCCCATTTTGTGCTTTGGCCATCTGCCTACGTCTGAAGGAAACCTGCTCATACTGCTTAATCCAAAACTAACTGAGCCATCAGTTGACGAAATGTGCAATCCAAATCTTTCCTCACTGTTGTACTATTTAAGATCTTTGGAAAGATAGATGATGGAACCGGGAATGTGACTTCTGAGGAAATACTTACCAGGTGTTACAGTCAACGTTGATATTTTCCCCAGGCTGGTACATAGCTTCATTGTGAATACATGGACATTCCTCTTCAGGAATACAAGCACCTTTCCCATCTAACACAAGCCCATCTGGGCACACGCAGCCAGATCTACATTGCATGCTATACTGGAAAAGTCAAGAGAAAGATATAATTTCAGAATGAAATAATTACAATAGAAAAAGGAAGATTAAATTATCATAAAATGTCTTTATATGGTCTTATTGCTGCCCAGCTTAATTGGGAGAGGACTACAAAGTGCTTATAGGAAAATGGAACAAAAAGGAAGTTATTAGCCATTGATTTAACAGAATATAAATCTGTTAAAGATAAATGTTTTATGTATGCCAATCCCGATTGCTCTGCTGCAGTCTGTGAAATTTGAAACACCTTAATCTTAAGTCTTGCTCTGTTAGCTGAAGAACCCTTGCACTTTGTAGTGGGTGATTTGTGATTGAATGGAGCTTTAAAAAGAAAATGGGTAATATTTCTTCAGTTTGGCTGAGTTACATTGAAATCTGTTTATCTCATATGGTACTTATTTGCAAAATAGCATGTGGCTACCATGCACCTAGGTGGAGTTTTACAATTAGATGTGCAAGAAGTTCACAGTTGTATCATGGCATGAGAAAGGGTGATTTGTCCTGGCCAGTTTATAGCCAGTAATTTTCTCCTAAAGAAGTGAAATATGTGTCAGAGCCCTAGATATTTTCACTACTAATTACTGTTGCCTGCAGTAGCTGAAGGAAGGTAGACACTAATCTTATGAATTAAATTGGAAGTTACTTTATTATATTTTGGTCTAAGTGTCCCATTGTTAATGCTTCACAACATGGTTTTAGGATTTTGCTACAATAACAGTGTATCTGTGCTGTAGGTTTGGAACAGATCAGATAGATCGATTACTTTCACACCAAGAGCACAGCCAAAACCTGGAAGCACCACTTCATCCTATGCTACAACATACTTACACACTGTGTATCCAGAGTCAGGCAACTTTTTTGACATTCTGGTCCAGTTGTTCCTGCAGTGATATTTCTACAGTCGACGTAGACCATGGGAGATTTACAGACTACAGGAAGGAAAGAAGTGAGAGCGGTAAGAAATGGCACAGGGTTAATCCCACAGCTGTAGCCTTTAAAACCATCGAGAAATTCTTCGGAAATTGCATATTTGAGTTAGTAAGGATTGCTGTCCCTATTCCATCTGTTAAATAGATTAACATCAGAGCACTGAATTCCCAGAAAAAAACCCCACAGTATTTAAAAAAAAATCTTTATGAAAAAGAGGTCTTAAAATTAATCTAGGTTCACTCCTGCCTTCTATGATGACTGTTGCACTATAACTAGATCAGAAATACTTCTGCTATTTAAAAATCCATTTAAAAAAATCAGCTATTTCTGTCCAAAACCTGGCACAGAGAAAAAGATAATTAGAAGATTATTTTTATTTTTTTTTTTTACCTGGAGTTGGATTGGGTGGTCCAATGCAATTCAGCCTTCCCTCAGTGCAAGTGCTGTAAGAAAGGGAAAACCATATTTTTTTTTCTTCTCAAACCATGTAGTGAGACTGAGAGGTACTTCTCTCTTGTCAAGTTTCAGAATTTTTGAAGGAATTCCAGAATTCCAAATTTTGCAGTCTCAGGGAAGAATGTCCCTCAATACCACTACCAGTGCTAATTTTATATGATATACATTATTGCTTAACAGGAAAAATCATAGGCTGAAATGAGTATATGTCTCTGCTTGTTAATTACTTTCCCATATAATCTTTCTAGTTTTGTAAGAATTTTATGCTTGAAAAATAATGGAATTAAATAGAAAATGCACTTAAATACATTTGCTCTATCGATCTGGAAATATCATAGAATCATAGACTCATGTATGTTGGAAAAGACCTTTAAGACCATCTAGTCCAACCATAAATCTATCGACCAACACCCTCAGGTCGTTTTCTGCCAGGGAGCTTTCCAGCCACTCTTCCCCAGGCCTGTAGCATTGCATGGGGTGGTTGTGACCCAAGTGAAGGACCCAGCACTGAGCCTTGTTGAACCTCATACAATTGGCCTCAGCCCAACAATCCAGCCTGTCCAGGTCCCTCTGTAGGGCTGTCCTACCTCTAGCAGATCAACACTCCCACCCGACTTGGGGTTGTCTGTGAACTCACTGAGGGTGCACTCGATCCCCTCATCCAGATCATTGATAATGATGTTAAACAGGACTGACCCCAATGCCGAGCTCTGGGGAACACTGCTTGTGACTGGCCACCACCTGGATTTAACTCTGTTAACATCACCACTCTTTGGGCCCAGCCATCCAGCCAGTTTGCCCATCCAAGCCCTGAGCAGCCTGTTTCTCCAGGAGAATGCTGTGGGAAGTGGTGCCAAAGGCTTTACTAAAGTCCAGGTAGACAACATCCAGAGCCTTTCCCTCACCCACTAAGCAGGTCGCCTTGTCATAGAAGGAGATCAAGCAGGACCTGCCTTTCATAAA